CAGATATAAACAAGAGAAAAACATCCAAGAAAAGCAAGTTTTTCTATCAGATAAATCTGCCATTTTTTTTTCATAAACTGCCAAATTAAGTTTGGCAGGAAAAAAGGCGGTGGTGATGAGGGACTACAACTCACATGGGCAAAAGACTGCAACCGTACACATATTACTCCAAACCTCCCATCAGCTGCAATCCCTGGTTTTGTTGCCTTGACAAATGCATAAGGTGGACTATAAAGAAGTTAGGTTCGGAGAACTGGTGTTATTCTTTCATCCTCGTATCTCATAATGTTGTGTTAATACACACAGTGCAAAGCACAATGCTTAGTAGTAATCTAGTAAAAACATACATTATTTTTTCATTCAACTTATTTGCAGTATTACTACGTAGCAACAAAAATTGCATGTATACTTTGGGCTTGAAGTTGGATGCCTGTAAGGTCTATTTAGATGCCATCAATTAAAATCACGTACAAGTTTCTCCTATTCATTTACAAATTAATCAGGTCAGAACCATGGAGTGCTCTGCACAAAAGTACTCTCTCACTGCCAGTGAGGTCTATATTCCATAAAGTGGACAATGTGGACATCTCACTGTCTTTTTCTCATCTGTGAACAACTTTAGTCTTCCTCTAAAGCCCAAGTGCTCCCTATGGGAAGCAAAGCACCCAAGCCTCACTCCTGCCCTTTGGAACAGCCTGGCTTTATCAGCTGCAAGGGGGATCTGAGAACTAGCTTTTTGTATTAGTATCTAAAGCTAAGTGGTTAAAGCAGACAGTATGAACACACATGCTCAGACTGGAGCGTGCTAGTTGTCCTGATGCAGAGCACCAACATTACCACAGCTGTTTTTAAACCATCTCTCTCTAGTAGCAAGAGGAATGCAGATATGGAAGCATGAAGCACAGCCTGACCCCGTTTAGTCAAACTGGCAGGTGGATTTTACAAACTGCACAGACCACAGTGCTGTATGTTGTTACAAGTATGCAAGGCAGGCAGCTTAAAGCCAGCTCGCATACACTTCCATGAGCTGCAGTCTTTAAACTAACTGAGGAGAAGACATGCCACTATGTCTGGAAACACAATCTGCCATGAACAAATAAAGCAAATAAAGCAAATAAAGATTTACCACAAAGTCCCTGTGGGCTGACTGCCCACCAAACTGAAGAGGCAATCCCATACTCTTCATAAGCTCGGCCTCCGAGTCTAGTTCAACTTCTTCCAGGTCGAGAGCATGATTAGTCTTTAATGTCACATTGGGACAACGGTTCTCCTCCTCGGATGCTTGTTCCTCCCCTATTAACAAGTTATATTAAGTGAATATAATCTGGCACTGATACCTCAATGCAACAGCATGGCCTACAAAAATGAGCAGAACTGCCTCTCAAGCTTCCTTTCCCATTTAAAATTTTCATCATAAGCATCTTACTGTCCGCATAATTACCAGTAGGAACCAAAATCTAACTTCGACAGCCAAAACACTGCACTGGGTCTGGCTGGGATGGAGTTAACTTTCCTCATATCAGCCTGTATTGAGCTGTGTTTTGGATTCGTGGCTAAAACAGCGTGGACAACATACCGATGTTTTGGCTATTGCTGAGCAGTGCTTGCGCAGCACCAAGGCTTTCTCTTTTCCCCACTCTGCCCTCCCCAGTGAGTAGGGTGGGGTGGGCAAGAGATCGGGAGGGGACACAGCTAGGACTGCTGACCCAAACTGGCTGAAGGGATAATCAATACCCTGTAACGTGATGCTCAGCAATAAAAACTGGGGTAGAGGGTGTGGGTGCTTGGGGTCAACCCACCACAAACATTCACCTCAATAACTTGCAGAGCAAACTACAGTAACACCCAGCAAACAACAGAAAAATTAGTATTAGGAAAAGAAAATTCTTTACAGGAGTTCTTTTGGCATGTATCAGAGCAAGCATAAAATACAAGAAGCTGGTTTTGTTACAAATCTTTCAAAAACACACTAACAAAGATAATACAATTTTACAAAAATGTAATGTGTGAACTACAGAACATCATCATCTCGGAAATAACTGATCAACTATTGAAACACTGCTTGCACATCTATCAAATTTTTAAGCAACATTGTATGTATATAAAATGACAAATACCAGTGAGAAAGTAGGAACTGTATACTGATGAAACTTATGAAACACAAAAGCTCTTGACTCAGTTGATAAAACTCAAAAATTTAAGATTTTTTTTTTTTTGGTCAGGATATATTTACTGCCAAATATATATATATATTTTTACACAGCACAAGACTCTCCTGTTCTTAACTGATTACTCTCACCACAATTCAGTCATATATGCACAAAAACATGGTTTACATTCTCCTCCTTCCTTCCATTCACACTGCCCCCATCTAACCTGTGCTATTCATTCTCAGCTTCTATGGTCATTCCTTTCTGTTCAGATTCCCTCCTTTCAAATCAAGCTATTATATGATGCTGGAGCTAGCAATACACCAACGGAAAAATCAGATACCAAAGGAATTACGTTCAGATAGGCATGTGTGGGGAATTTGGGAGGATGGAGCAAGGGACTGGTGTTGAATTTGCCAGAGCATGCACCATGATTATTCCTAAAATACAAGCAAGCAGGGAGACACTTACCCCTCCGGCCCTCCTCATATGACTCCTCATGTACATGCAAATCATAATTTCCCCCATCAGGGCTATTGCTGCTTCTCTACTTCTGGCCCAGCAGATTAATCAGCAACAGCTAATGTCCTAGGCTGGGGCAGAGTCAGCAGGACAGTACTACTCCCAAGCAAACACCTAGGATTTGCAGGCCCTCTGTGATACAATTAATTTTGAGCTAGCAAAGTTGAAATTATGATTTGAGAGCAGGTCAGGCACTTGTAAGCTAATCTGCTCTGTGCACCAGGTGGAGATTATGTGAGCTGGTAAATCTGTGGAAACATCGCACCTGGTTTGACACAAACTTCCACATCAAGGTTATAGCAATTTGAAAGTTGTGCAAGTGCTAAGTTATTATTCACATCCATGCCCATAACAAAAGTGCTGAAAAAAAAGCCAGAAATAGAACTATGGGTTAGCAGTTATACAGTCCTACTGTACCTTAAATAACCACACACAACTCACTTTAACTGCACATCATATTACACAGTACATTTTATTACCTTACCTGTACTATCATTGTCATCTTTGACATAAAATCCTTTTAATCCCAGTTTGTATAATTTTCGATCTCTGTAAAAATGAAAAGAGACATGGATGCAGAAGGTCATCATTAAAACAAATTTTTTTACAGTAAAAAATATCACTCAGTGGAACAACCTCCCCAGGAACACGGTAGAGTCCCCATCGCTGGAGGTTTCAAGATGCGATTGGATAGGGTGCTAGATAACCTCATCTAGGCTCCCTTTCCCACAAAATGCTGGCCCAGGCGATCTTTCGAGGTCCCTTCCCACCTGGGCTGCTCTGTGATTCTAAACACACGAAGGAAAGAAAAACATGAAAAATGCAGCACTTTAAAGCCTAACGTGAAAAGCTTACATGAAAGATATTCAGAAAATGTTGCTGCCACACAGAATACCCGGGAATTAAATTTTTGGGGCACAAAACATTCTGCTTAAGTGGGTGGAATTTAGTGTCTTCGGTCCAAAACTGCAAATATTTCAGCCACCACCCAACGCTGAAGGCACCTCATCTCTGCAAGTGCCTCTGCTAAACGCCGAGTGTGTTGAACGTCAAAAGCTCCGGCAAGGGCCACGACCTCTCCCCCCAAATCACGCATCTGCGAGAGACAGCCCGTGAGCAGCGTCTCTCTTTCCTCTCCTCGTTGGCAAACCTGCTCCTCCTCTCTGGCTCGGGGAGGCTCCAGGTCCCTCCGCGCCCGTTTGGGGAAGGAAGAGGGGGACGCGGGGCGCCCGCCGGAGCCCCGGCCGCGG